TTCAGAATTCAGCATATAGGATGCTCAGCATGTAATGTATCAAAAAGGGGACAACGGATAAACAAACATTGATGGAGGAAATTGGGAAAAGCACTGCAACATACACTAAGAATGCAAGAAGTGAAATTCATCTATTGTGACTGGTCCACACATCATTCCACATGGAATTTAAATCATGACACATGAGAAAAATGCTTGCTAAATGTATGTTTTCAACAAATATTTGTGCACAAATTTATATTTTGGGTAATGAAGAATAAGAGCTTATTCTGCCCAGACCAAAGTATATCTAGTGCAGTGGTTCTCAACATGTGAGTCCCCAGATTTTTTGGCCTACAACTTCCAGAAATCCCAGCCAGCTTCCAGCTGTTAGGATTTCTGAGAGTTGAAGGCCAAAACATCTAGGGATCCACAGGTTGGGAACCACTGATCTACTGGGGTGCAAACACCAATATTTCAGTGTATGTAAAATTTAAAAAGAAAAGGAGTTCAAGAAAAGTGAATACAATGGCACACTGTCGTGTCAGGAGCGACTTGAGAAACTGCAAGTTCCTTCTGGTGTGAGAGAATTGGCTGTCTGCAAGGACATTGCCCAGGGGACACCCAGATGATTTGATGTTTTTATCATCCTTGTGGGAGGCTTCTCTCATGTCCCCGCATGAGGAGCTGGAGCTGATAGAGGGAGCTCATCCGCCTCTCCATGGATTCAAACCTGCGACCTGTCGGTCTTCAGTACTGCCAGCACAGGGGTTTAACCCACTGCACCACTGGGGGCTCCTAAAGTCATGTGTAAGGAAGCAGAGGGAACATGAAGCTCTGGGAAACTCAGTTAAGGATGGTGTAGGAAGGTCTATTATATTTATTCTTTATAGAATGAACCTTCCCATCTGTGTTTTGATTCACACGGATAATTTCAATAAAAAGTCAGAACTGACAAACTGACTTTTCTTTTACCCCAGCCCACAATGATCTATCAAGAGTTGCCTCACTGTTGCATACATACAAAAGAGCATTAGAGCTCTTTTAATAAAGGCTTTCTCCAATCTTATTGATTGAGCTGTCTTCCTCTCCTATTATATGATAACAGAAAATTCCATTGTTTGACTGGTCAAACTATGTTTATACAATATTTCATCTGACAGGGTATTTTGCATGAGCATGAAAGGAAATACATTTAAGGGCATGTAACAAACATTACTTTAATGTTTTCTTGTTTTTATGGCATAAAAATGCTTAAATGATCCCCAAAATTCATTAATAGTGATGTTCCCCCCCCCATTATATTTTATTTTAATGAAAAAGCAAGGCAATGACTTACTAGATTATAAACATGTCAAATGCAGAATGAGATGTAAATGAGATTTTACATTCCCAGCAATCTGTAACTGTTAGAAGAAGAAAAAAATGAATTATCTTTCACTCAGTATTTTTAAAGAGTAGTGTAGTTTCTGAAAATGTCAAAAGAGGATTATTCTAAAATGATGTCAACTGATGGATTGCACTGGCATTTATCTTTTTTTGAGCATTAAGTGAAGACTGTTCCATTCTACATAGACACTTCCCATTTCTAGAACAGGATAGGTCAGTAATGTATTTAACTAACTGTCAAGTTGCTGATAATGACTATTACTGATAAATACTGTACTTCATAAAGACCTTCTTAGCTATTCCCAGAAACCCACTGCCTGCAAACACTACTTTTTTCAGAACTCTTTCACATCTTCATTCAATGAATTTTACCAAGAAGTGGATTTGTTGTCATATAACAGTGCAGTCATCTACATGTCCATATATTAGGCCTGGGCAGTTTCGTTCGTTAATTTTGTAATTCGTTAAATATTCGTTATTTTTAACAATTACAAAATGATTACAAAACTTATTTTCAAACCCGGAAGTGTTTTTAAATATCGAAACGGCATCCTCCATCTTTTTTACGAGCTTCCGCCCGTTTCGGAAATGACTTTTAGGGATGGAGGATGCTGGGTGCGCCGGGAGCCAATCCGGCGCTCCCAAGCACCGTGGCTCATTGTGATTGGGCGGGCTGCCCTTTAAAAGCGGCTCCGTGTGGCCGCATTACTCATTGCGAAGGCGAGGAGACGGGAGGTGTGGGAGGGAGGCTTGGCTTGCTTGCATTCATTCATTGCTTGCATTCATTCATTCATTCACATTCATTGTTGGGAGAGCGAGAGCGGTTTAAAGACCTGAGCTGGGAGCAGCGGGGAGGCTTTGCCCTGTTTTCGCCTCACAACAGGGCAGGCAAGCATTTTGTTAATTTTCCATTTTTAAATATTTCTGATAAATATTTCTTTTATTCTTAAAAAAATTCAAAAAATATTCTAAAAAAAAAAAACCTTGTGTGCCTGTGTGTGTGTTTGTCCCTGTCCTGTGGCTGTGTTCGCTCCACAACAGGGCAAGCATTTTGTTAATTTTCCATTTTTAAATATTTCTGATAAATATTTCTTTTATTCTTAAAAAAATTCAAAAAATATTCTAAAAAAAGAAAAAAAAGTGATTTGCGCATGCGCGGGGGGTCCGCCATCTTAACGAATCGATTCGTTAATAATAACGAAATTTCGTAAATACCGAACTTTTTTAAAGGAAAATTTTGTAATTCTTTTAAATAACGAAACGCAAAAACCCCCCAAAAACGAATCGATTTTAGAAACAAATTTTTGCGTTGTTACCCAGGCCTACCATATATGTTTGTATATCAGGAATCTTGATTTTGCTGGTTCCTGGCAGAAATCAAGAACTACAAAATAATTTTTCATCCCACAGTTCTGAAATACTTAGGGACCACTCTACCTCAATGATGGGAAAGGTCAACAGTTTTTCTATAAAAAAATTCGCAACTTGTCCAGAGAACGGCTTAGTTTTCCAGAAGATTGGGTGGAAACTTAAAATTGTGCAGCTTTCGACAGAGATAATTGTGAAATGTTCAAATTGGCAAAGGTTGCAGCTTCAGGTAGCCTGAGCTTTTTTTCCTGCTGCATAACATTTGAATTGTGCAATGTTGACTACATCACAGGCTGCCGGCACAATGTCATATTATTTGTATGGTGGTAATGTGCAATTGAGTTTTGTATTTCTCTAAGTGTGTGGTGAAAACCAAAAGTAGCAGATGTTTTGTTTTATTCTCAGAAAGTTGCACAGGTTAAAAAAAAGATTGAACATAGATTTGTATTGCAAAGCTGTGCAGTTTTCGAAATTCCTGTGCAGTTTTGGTGATGGAAATTTTGAACATGTGTGTCCCTCCTCTCAACAAAGGTTTCTGAAGAGGTTTTGTAATGCAACCTCCATTGTGAAACCATTGAATTTCTATTCCATTCTGTATATGTGTGGTCTGCAGAAGCTCATTTGGGTTCGGGATTGGACAGTGCATATATCTCTATCAAATTTAATAATAATAGTGATAATGATGGTGATGATGATACGTCATTTTATATTCCCTTTCCACCCTGAACTGGAATTTAAGACAGCTTACAAAATGAAAGCAAATACTGATAAAAGCATATGCAAAGATATAATGAAAAACATACAAAATGTTTTCGTTAAAATTCAGTTAAACTACCCATACAATTAAATCCATTTAAAACACTTCAAATAAAAAGGAAAGAGACAGATTTCCTCTCTGTCTTCAGCAGAGCTTCTGGAACATGAACAATCCATTAACACTCATACTGGTTGGCAACTTTATTCACCACCAATTATTGACATATATCACATTTTTCTTTGACATTTAATTTCAACATTTGGCAGTATTTGATAACTAATGTTTGGTTCTACATAGTATTTGTCAAAGTATTTGACAGATGACATGCCACAATAGCAATTAATTGACAGCAGTGCCAACCTATGCATGTCTACTCAAAAAAATAATCCTCATTACATTCAATGGGACTTATGCCAATGTAGGAGGATATAGGATTTTAGCCTGAGTCTCTCCCACAGTTTGTACAGTTTTTTCTTCTACTTTTTACTTGGGGTTGGAAAGTCTTCCTTGTTCCATTTTCACACCCAAGGATGAAAAACATTGGGAGATTTTATAGTGTCATTCAGCAACAAGTTGTTTCACATATGAATCCCAAATTCTGAACCCTGAATTTTGTGCAAAATAGAGACTTTGTGCCAGTGAAATAAAAATGCACAAATGAAAGGCTCCAATGTGGAAAATTGTCAAAAAATGTGTAAAAAGTTGTAACATGTTGAAATGCGCTGAACATCCTTTCTCCTTCTGGATGATAACATTTGTGAATATTCATGACATCTCTGCATTGTTTTCAGACTTTATCCAACTAAATGATAATGAATGACACCTCATTCTAAGAAAGCTACAAGAAATAGCAAATTCTAATTTCCAGGTTTAAAGGTATTGTGCTGAGGACCATTGAGAAAGAAATGAGGTAATTTAAAAATATTTTAAATTAAAAATATCAGTTAAGCTCACACTATTTTTTGTTGTATACATTGTGCTAAGGACCATCAAGAAAGAAATGAGGTAATTTAAAAATATTTTAAATTTAAAATATCAGTTAAGCTCACACTATTTCTTGTTCTATATACTTAGAAACACAGTGTCCATTGACACCAGAGTGTGCAGACCATCTTTGTAGACAGAGAGCAACATCATTCTTCAGATAAGGAAATGATACATGCATACATGCATACAAACCAAGACTAATATTTTTAAATTGAGATTGGGGTTAGGAGAGAAAAGCTGCTGTGAGGGCAAAGTCATCATCCCAAAATCTAGGTTTCTCAGAACTGAGGAATTTTAGAGATAAAGCTTTGGCTACCTGAACTGTTTATAGTATGTGAACAGCATACATTTAGTGCAATATATAGCTATACATTCAGGGATCCTTGGAAAAAAACACATGTACTCTACATGACATGTCAACAACCATGTGAGTATACATATCAAGGATGTGTACATATAGATTGACTATACCATAACTCTTGAGGAAAAAAAATCTTTCAATCAAATAATCCATGTATCTTCACAAGAAAAAGCAACAAAACCAGACTCAAAGAAGCTTGAGGCCATACTGCTAGAGCCTATTAATGAATTTGCTCCTCCTTTCTGGATTTCTCCCAACTTGCAAGACTATCATTTGTTCCCCAACCCACCCTTCCATGTTACAAATCACTGGAAAATGCATAGGATTTTTCTGTTTTTACAGAAAATAGATTACATTGGTTTGAGTTTTGAAATGACTGATTGCAGATAAAATGAGCCACATTGATTATGACAAAGTGACCTCATGAATAAACTGCAAAGTAACATTTAAAAAGAAAACACACCCCATGATTAAAAATAGCTAGGATGCAATTTGTCTAAGATTATGGATAGACTTAACCTATAACTAATCCAACAGAGGCTCTGGTGAGACTAATATGAATCCTTATTAATAAGTTATAAGTTTAAATCAACATGGCTTGAGTTGCCATAGTTACACAGTTTGTTGATGTAAATCCACTGTGGTACCCATGGAATAATGTTGCAAATTAGATTCAGGACTTTAATAGACATTCAAATATTTGGGATTTTCTCATTCTGCTCCAAACTGTTTCACAGGTTGAATACATCTTTAGTAGTATCCTTTATCCATAGTCATCTTTCCTAGAAAATGGGGGGAAATCAAGTATTAAAAAATCTTACCATAATCAAGGCATAATTGTTTATCAGACAAAGTGAGATACATCTATTGGTACACCCCAAAACACTTCATGCCATTGTTACACTACTAAATCAATGACAATTGTAATTCTTACCTGAAAAGAAAAGTTAGCTTTCTTCCTGTATGCTAATATATGTTTATCTTGGCCTGGATAGTAATATTTTTCTTTCTCTTATCTGGCTTTTTGTAACCAGAAATCTGTAATCTATTCAATGTTCTCATAAGTAGTCTTTTCTAAATTACAGTAAGTATGAAGTTATCTAATTTCGCCCTTTTTTGGAATGAGACAGTTTGTCTTCTGGAGTTTAAGTAAGAAGTCAAATATTCTGAAGGCCATAACACTTTTTCCCATTTTGAAACCTGTCACGAGAAAAGAGATACATAAAGAACTGCAAAACTATGAGGAATCCCCCTAAACAAAACAAGCCGCACCTTCTTGTATCTCTGTAATGGCAGCAAAACATGTGATATGATATGATCAATTGTGCATTCTCCTGGCATCTACTGCTGCAGAATGTTTTGACAGAAGGAGAGAGTTTCAAGAAAATACAAGATATGGAAGTGTCACAGGTTACATTAATTCCAAGTCACAAGTGGACAGCAGAAAAACACAGTAGAGAAGCCTGTCCAATGGCAGCTGGTAAATTTCATTCTAGTAAGGGAATGAACCCATTCTAGAGTTTAATCCATGCCATAAAGGAAGTGCCCAGGGTGCTGAATTGTACACAGACAATAGATTCTTCACCTGGGGCTATTCCTTTACAGTTTGGAGTAAAATTCAAAAATAATTCACTACTGCACTAACTGCTGTTGCTAGGCTTCATGCAATAGATATACAAAAAGTCTAGTCAATGGTTTATGCACAACTCATTCTATTTTAAACCAGAGCTTCGAAAAGTTAAATTTTTGAAGTTACAATTCTCAGAAACCTCCAGCACGGGATTCTGAGAGTCATAGCCCCTTAACCATAATTTTTCCAAATACAGTTATAAAAAGTAATAAACGCACTAAGCAGCTCACTTTTTCAGTATATATCAAAGAATCCAAAACACCTGTAAACAACACATTCTTGATGAAACTTCAGTCATTGGTCTGTAACCACCACAGCTGGTGCAGTCAAGTGGATCTGCTGTAAACAAAGGTGACATGTGAAATGGCAATGACATTGACTCCGGTCATAAACTGATTTAATCATGTATAGGTATCACTAAAATCAATGGTCCTTGTTTGCAAATGCTTTGGATTGCAGCCATTTGGTAACAAGAACATTTAAGGGCTCTCTAATAGAGTATAAAAAGTGGCACTTCCATGAATCTGTCAACATGGGTGTTTTACGATATTCATTGCTCAGAAATAACCATCTGAACAGCATTTTTAAAGACACAAAGAAGGTAGGACTCATTTTTATTTCTTTACCTCTGGATTCCAAGGTAATAGCTAAACCATTGGTTTGCACCAGTATTTGGAGCTCAAATATATCCTGTGATGATAACATGACCCATGATATCAAATGTGGATACAATCACTATGGGGGTGAGAGCCAATGGGGTATATTGGTTTGAGCATTAGGCTATTGCCATATCGACAAATTAATGCAATTTGACACCACTTTAACTGGTTCAATGCTATGGAATCATGGGAGTTGTACATTGGTGCAGCACCCGTTGGCAGAGAAATTTCAAAGGAAGTACTGCACATTTAAATAGGAAATAACACATTCAAACCAGGAACAGATTTTTTTTCAAATTTTGTTACATAGAATAATCAACTGTTCTTTTCCTGCCATTGGGATCCCCTCCTCCTATTTGTGATATCAGAGAAACCTCCAGTCAATTCCTGTGTGGATCCTAGCTGGGTGGTTTCTTGGCCAATCAGGAGGTGTGGAAAGCCTGAATAGTTGCCAGAAGTGTAGAAAATGTCTTGTGTTTTTCTATGGAGTTATGCTTGTATGTTTTGAGCATTGGTTGGTACTTTTGCTAAACTGTAATAAACCTCTGTAGTTTATCTTCAACCTGGAGTGTTCTTTTTCTGTCCTGGCTAATCTGGTTTAGTGGAAGCTAACCAAGCACAGACCTTCTTATCCACAGTCCTAGCTGAAATCACTTCACCAGCAGTCAGCACCAGCTCCCCCATTGTATGATCCCATTTTGTATTCTAAAAATCAGACTTGCTAAGAACGCATGAGAATCCATTGTAGCTGACATTTCAGGTGGAATCACCTGGCTAGTTTGCAGACCAGAAATCTGGCCACATCCACACACATCTGCTAAAAACTTTTGAAAAATGTACAATAGGAAAAAAAGCATGCTTATTTCAAATGGGCATAAAGCACACCACTAACTTAGGATGAAACACATGCAAACAATGTGGACAATTTAAAGAAGGCACTTACAATATGCAAAATAAAGAAAGAAAGACAAACAATGTTTCCTTCATACAAAATAATAACACAGAAATTGAGAACTCCTCTGTCATAGAGGCTTTAGGCTTAGTCCAGCACTGGTGGAAGATAACTTTTTGATTATCTTCCAACTTTGCAATTTTTAACTGTATGAGTCTAGGAAGCAAAATATAGGCAAACACAGATTTAACATAAAGGTAGACAAATGTTTCTTGTAGTGCTTGAGGCACTTCACTGCCTCAAAGATTTTTCCCAGTGACAGAAAATATTTGCACAACACAGGGGCATAGTTAGTTTAGTCCCAGAGGAAATGATGTAGATGTTTCTTTTGCCAACACTGAGAATTTGATTCCAGATCTCATGCTCAGCTGCCAAACTACATGGCTACCATGTAGCCAATCAGATTTGGCTCTGTGAAGAGCAATGATAATGGTATAAGTGCCTTCAGGACTGATCACATGGGAACTTCTGAGGAATTATACACATTGAAGAATTATAGAAGTTTGACACCAGATTGACTGCTATGGCTCAATGCTATGGGATTCTGGTATTTGTATTTAGATGAAATATTTACCCTTTTCTGTCAGAGAGATTTGGTGGCATTCCAGACTACAAATCACAGGATTCCCAGGTGTTTTTCGGTGTGATGGGAAGTCAGTCATCTGAAACATCACATTGTATTATTGTGAACTCTTCAAAATTAATAAAACGGAAAAGCTTTTTTAAGTCTGCAAAACATTGCTAATCTTACCCATCCTGCTACAGGCAGATTCACACATCAATTTCCTGCTTCAATGTAATTTTGGATATGAAAAGAATAAAGCTGTTAGTTTCCTAAAGCCAACCATATGGTCCTAGCCAAATAAATGCTCCTTGGTTGCATCTGTCTTCAAACAGATTATTGCCTGGAATTAAAATGTCTAGGCCAGTAAGGGAATCTTTTATGCTAGTATGTTCATATCTGCTGTGTGTCAATCCATGCCTTTTATACATAACAGCCCGGATGTGAGTCAGATTGAAAAAGCAAAGCACTGCAGAGAGAAAGGCTATCCACAAACAGCTATTTGTACAAATTGACTCTTGCACATTTTGTTTACCTGATGCACATAGAGTTCACCTGATGGGTCTGCTCATCTCTTAAATAGACTTGATCTTTTATTGTCATCCTTGTAGGATGTATCAGCATAAGACTATGGTTGCACCAACTCTATAGAATCAATGCAACTGACATCACTTTCATTGCCATGGTTCAAAGCCCTGGAATCCTGGGAGTTGAACTCTCAGTTTTGGATCCCTCTATTTTCAGCATAGACCCACAAGTGGGAAATCCACCCTGAGCTGCACAACTTCTTCCAAAATTTCACAGATGAAAACCAGGATATGAGTGACCAAGCAATAACAGAATGCAATTCAAATGGCAAAAGTTATTTAAAAGGAAGAAAACATGCTGGAAGAAGCCACAGCAGTTTATATTTGCCTGAGTCTACTGTGAAGGACAAAATTTCCCTCACATGGTTTCTCAAGGCAAATTTGAAAAATCCTACAAGCTTGGTCTGAAAATCTTTCCAGTTCAAAACTCCATCAATTACATGTTCATCCTTTAAAATATTATATAGTTGAAGGCTTTCGTGGCTGGATCACTGGGTTGTTGTAGGTTTTTCAGGTTGTATGGCTTCTAGAACATGGCCACACAACCCACAAAACCTACAACAACCCTTTAAAAATTGATTCTGCTTCTCCTCTACAAACTCATTTGTAAAGCACATATTTAGTGTGTATTTTGTACACAGTATTCCCACACAGTGTAGCTATTTCTATTCATTCACATTTTCAAAACAGTTTTGTGTATGTTGTATTCTCCTAAAACACAACATGCTCAATAAATGTACAGATTTCTTAGGAAAAGTAAGGTTTGTGTTTCAACAAAATACGAGGAGCTCAAAACAAATGTTTCCACATTAAAAATCTCAATCTCTTTCCCTTTTCTAGTGCTCTACCATTACAGAAGCAAGCTGACGATTCAGTGCAAAAAGAGTTATTGCCTACACTTTCCAAAAAACAAGTCACTAAAAATGCGTTTTAGAAAAGCTTGTTTGTTGCTTATATTAACTGTTACTTCAAGGCACTGTGAACCTTGCAGAAACCAAACCTGTCTCTTTCCACAAATTGTTGTGTTGTTGTTATGTGCTTTCAGGCCATTTCTGATCAATGGGGACCAGAAGACAAACCTATCAGAAAGATTAATTGAAAATAATCATTGTGTTCATAAAGAAAATGTTGACATAGAAAATGTTAACATGTTGTTACAAGGGGACAATAACTGGAAGGGGGCCTTCATCCTTTCCAACCATCTAAATCTGGTGTGAAAAGCTGTTGGTATGGTTGAGATGGCAGGTGATACTGTGAGAGTGGAAGCTTTTACTGCCCCTTAGGATCATACCTGGTTACTAGGTTTTGGCACCCTGTGATGATAGAGGACTTTATTGTCTTAAACATGGCAAAGCAAAATTGAAGCATCCATTGCAACTCTATGGTGACAAACGTATCATCTACTGTGTTGTTGAAGGTTTTCATGGCCAGAATCACTGGATTGCTGTGAGGTTTTTCAGGCTGCATGGCCATGTTCCAGTAGCATTCTCTCCTGACGTTTTACCTCTGAAGATGTCAGCCACAGATGCAGGTGAAATGTCAGGAGAGAATACTACTGGAACATAGCCATACATCCCAAAAATCTCACAGCAACCCATTTCCCCTATTATTGATGGGAAACCTTATCAATAATTCCTGATCATCACAGGATCCTATTGCTTATCTTTTATGATGAGCTAGGATTTACTACTGTGCTGGTGTCATCACAGGACAAGATTGTTTTGCTCTCCCACTTTCCTCTACTTCCCCTTGCATTTGTTCATAATGCTTTTTTTAAAAAAAAACAAACAATACTAAACTTCACTGGAACTGTTGCTTTAACAGTTTTTTTAAAAAATCTGGAGAAGCATTATGACAGGAAGGTAGAGTTACGCCAGTAAACCAGAAGTGCTTGTAATAGGACCATGGATTGCAGAGTTCTCACCATTGCATGACACCTGGAGAGAGGCAATAGCAAGGGTCACCATCCTAGTAACTGTCCATTGTCCCTGATTTTGTTAATGATACATGGTAGTGGCTTCATAAGTTCTTACAGTGACAGCTTTGGTGTCTTCATCCTACTTATTAGAGAAGGAAAAGAATGTGAAGAAGGATCCATTTTTGGTGGTGAAAATCAGAGGACATCCTAAAGCTCTTGATGGTGGGAGAAATTCCAATAACAACGCCTGTGGACAGACTTTATTCTCACCTTCTTGCAAAACAAGCAGTTCTGCAGAAAGATGCCTCTAGGATGTCAATGTGTTCTTTCATTTCTAGTATTCCTCTAGTATTCTCTCCTTCATGGACTTTCTGATCACATGAGAAAGTGGAGGCCAGAAAATAATGCATATTAAAAAGCAATTTGCTGTCCAAAACATTATCCTTCCGTTAGTTAGATTAGCACTGCCCTGATGTTGCTCTCTGTATCATTTCAAAGACTAAGTGGTTGTTTTTCCATTATTCAGTTATCACTCTCCAATGGTGGTCTTATGTTTATAAATGCATGTAATACCATGCTGTACAGTAAATTGGAACAGAGAAATGCTAAGATCTAGAATGCATAACAATTTTCATTTCTGCTTATCTTACATGTTTCCTATCATTTCAGTGTTTGATGAAACAACCAGTGTTCTGGAGGGTTACGGGACTGTGAGTCTTTTAGACTGAGCTTGCACAATATGTCAGTCAGACCTTTGAGCTTTCAATTGGACTAAGAAAAACCATTCCTCTTGAAAAGTACTTAAACTAGAAAAATGTCAGTGCACTGGAAAAGAACCAGCTGGCCTTAATCTATGAGGGCTGCGGCATTTACTGTCCTCTCTCAGCAGTTTTGTAAAGAAAGCCATCTTCTTTCAAAAGTATTTAAACTCTTCCCTAATCTTCAGATTGGCAGTTTAACAGTCTTTTCTTTTATTGCAGTTTACCCAGAAAGAGCAACTATATCTTTTTTTCCTCTTTGAAGGTACAGTAGATCAACTGGTGGATCAAGTCCCACCTATTACTAGGTCCTATGCATATCCCACAGCTCCATTTCTGTGATCTGGATTCTTCCAAAACAGATGGAAGGAAGGTGCATAGAAAGACTGCATGTGGAAGCAGGGATACAAAATGTTACTTGGCATAACATTGAGATTAACCCCTTATCATATACTATGTTGGCTTCAGTTTCTCCTACTGTCTAACAGATGAGGGCAAATAGGTCACAGAAACTGTTATGACTCTGTGGCGTTTTAGCTTGTCCCATTGACAGTAATGAGATCTACTGCTCAATCCAGTGGATTGACTAAGCAATACACAAATATGGGATGTTCATCATAAGGAATCTTGGGACTTTATCGCACGGAGACAAACTGACACTGAAGCAAGTGATAGTCACTATTGCACAATGCCAAGCACATCTCACTGCCTGTCTGCTTTATCCTTGTGATTAACCTGTTCCCTACTATTGATTGGCAAATCCCATAAATAGTTGTAAATCCCACAATGCTAACAGTGAAATGATGTCAGAGGGCAGGATTCTCCTCTTCTCCAGCAATCCTCTCCCTTTGCTATTCCTGAGCTGGTAATTTTTAAATTTTCTGTAGTTTTTTGGCTTTTTTTTTAAAAAAAAAAATCACCATACCTGGAATTGCAAAATTGCTTTTAATTTTTTAAAAAATATGAGTATGTCACAATGGAAATGTGGGAGGACAGGGTTGTGAGGATATGCAGAAGTACGAGTGGGAAATAACAAGCAAATTGGCACATTTGGATTAATGAACTGAAGTGCAATTATGAGGGTGCTCATGCTGGTATGAAGCCACTGTTGGTGATTGGATGACTGCTGTTGAATACTAGTTTTGTGCAATAAAGTCCTTAGAAACGAAAATATCTGGGGGCTCTTTTATCTTAAACAGTTATAGCACTATCAATCCATTTATCTGCTATGCTTGCATCCTGCATTATCCTGGCATTTCTTGCTTGCTTAGAGATATTAAAGGAGTTCTCTTGCTGAAAATTCTTAGTGCACTTATAAAGTGCAAATCTCAGGATTGCATCAGATTTTGCCCATGACTCTTAAAGTGAAATCATACTGTTACAATTGTGTAGGGTTAAAGGAGCCAAGGATACACTAATCTGACCATTTTGTTAGTCTGGACATTATATTTCTTTACACAAAATGGCAGCTTATGCTCAGAAGCTACCAGTTAACCAACAATTAAATAAGTAGTCATACTGTAAACCACTGAACAATTTCTACCTTTATTTTATTTTATTTAGCTTTGAGTAATCCATTTTTACCTTCTACCACTAGGGTAATCAGATTTTGTTCCACTGTGTAGTTGACATCTCAGAACTTTACTCTGTCTTAAAAATATAGAATTACTAAAATAGCTATTATGTGACAGGACAGAAATATTGTGAGAATTGAGGTCACAATATGAAACATCTAGTAAAGATAGACATATTATGAGAATAAATGGTGCCCGCAAATATCACAATTCTGAGTTCATTTATATTCAAACAGAGTATCTGCTATAGGATATGGGAAGCA